AGATAAACAAGGGGGAAGCCTAAACAGAACCCCAAAACTGAAGTAATATCTGAGTGAACAGAATAGGAAAGCACCATTATGAAAAATAATAAATTTTTTAAAAAAGGCACAGAAATTAAATTTTTTGTATCTGTAATACTTTTTAGAGCCTGAGTACGTCCAGTCTGGGTTACATCTCCTTTTATTAGCCAGTTTGTGTTGAAATTATTAACATTTGGCGTACTTAAAATCTGTCTCAGTAGACTAAAAAAATTAATTTATTTCACCTATTTTTAGACATCTACAGTTTAGGTCTTTCAGGGGTCAAGTGACTCCCACTCAAGGCATTTGTCTGTCTTAGAGATTTCAGTCATGGTGTTTTTAAACTACGTACCTCTATTTAAAAATAGATTTTCTGGTTAAATAATCTGAACAAAGGTTTTCCTGAGGCTTTTATCAGTGACTCCAGGATGTATCCTAACCTTTGAGTATTCAAAACGGAACACTTTCTGTAACTACTGTGATCTTGCAAAAATTGTATCAAATTGCACAGGGTCATTTTCCTTCTGAGAAATGAGAGCATAAGAAAGGCATTTTTTGGATGAGGTTAAAAATCTTTTTCATCTCATAAGCAAAATAAATATATGTATTAAAAGAAAGAACTTTAACATGTTGTCATATATGCTATTCACTGAAATATAAAAATTGTCCTACTTAGTTTCTCATATGCACATATATATTTCTCATAAACATTTCTGCATATGCTTATGTCTCTCAGGGTAAATCTAGAAATGCTAATATTTGAAGAGCAGTATGGAAATAAGCACAAAGGATGCCTTGGGTACAGGCAAAGGTTGGCTGCAGAAATCAAAATAAAAAGGGAAATTTAATGTCCCAAGCAGGAAGATATTTAAACATACATTGAATTTTGAATGGCCAAAGGAATTAAAGATGTGCTAATGTTAAACACGTGCTTAAGTACCCTTTCTGACCGTCGGCATTTTCTTGAACTGCACAGGAGCCCATGTCTGGAAGGAAGAGAGTGTTAAATGTCAAAATAAAATTTTAAAAATTACAATCAATAAATAAATAATGCACATGTTTTATTCTCTATCTCAGAGCACATATAGCTTTCTGGCATCCTGTCACACATTTAAAGAAGAAACACTGGTAGAAAAGAAGCCATCCTAAACCACAACATGAAAATCCATACTGATGACATAAATGTTGAAGGATCTGTCCAAACAAATCAGGAAGACAGAGGATCACACAGCTCTAATCTGTATGAAGTTATTGTATCAGCCCATCTTAGAAGGTGGTAAAAACAACCTGGAGAATGAGATTTTTCTGGGAAAAAATAAAATGAAATAAAATGTCCAAGATGCAGCAAAGCCTTTGTCATTAGTAAACACTAGGACAGGATCCAACCAACTGATTTTGTTAATCTCTGCTTCATTCTCTGTGACATTAATTATCTGCATTTGACTGGCAGTTATCTATTCCCAGTTTGGACAGTTTCCCCATTAGTGTACCAGGCACATGGCTTGTACAGGAATTATCAGGCAAAACAGTGACTGCATTGGACCGGACTGGAACAGAGTCCTGGCTGCATGAGTCAAATATCACAGGAATTTGTGTGTGGATGGTGTTTACCCAGACTTTTCAAGCTCTTGGAAACACAATGTAGGAAAACAAGAAACCCTAAATATTCCAATCCTTTCATTTTAAAAGTCCTTGTTCTTTCACCTGTAAGCAGTCCATTATCAAGGTATTAACACAAGTCTTCTTTTTCTCTCTTTCCCAGAGTACAATGTGTCCCAAGATTTATTAATCATAAAAGTGTCAGTTCCACAGTCACAAAGCACAATCTCTAATCTCCCACTGCCTGCTGGCTCATAAATATATAGATACTTGTACATATGTACATACATGTACACGCATATAGAAATATATACATGCAATGATTGCAATTTTCATCTATTTGCCTCCAGGAAAAAAAAAAAAAAAAGGAACCAAAAAAACCCCAGCAAACACACAAAATAATCATGAATAGAAAACTATTTGAATGAGTGAAAACTAAACCTTGGCATTCCAAGGTGATATTATTCATATTTGAGAGAAAAAAAAAAATTAAGTGTAGCTTTGAAATCTGTAGTGAGGCCATGCACCCATGGACAGAAAAATGGAGCTTGAAGCACAAACCTGGAGCAAATCACACCACGACAGCAGCATACAAAGGACCAGGTTGTGCATCTGAAAACTTGAAAAAGAAACATGCTGTGTCTGAAAAAGTAAGTGTTTGAAAGTACAACAAATGTAGCTCTGATTAATTTTGTGTAAGCTTGTAGGTAGAAGGGCTAATTTGTTTATAGGAATGGTTTCTTATGGTCACAGTTTGACATCCAAAGCTTAACACTGTGGTGTGCAGCACTTCCTATGCAGTTTTTCTCATCCAGACACCTGGATCCTCCCTGTAAACATTGTAGTTTTTGTCTTCCATGGGATACAGTGCAAAGAAAGTGTTTTAATCTTGCTGTTTACCAGAGATTATGTGTAGACCCAGCAATTGAAACTGGTTTGCTATCTCCTTAACTGTCCAGTCTATAAGTACAGTTACTTTGGAATGACATTACAACACTGTCAGGTTGAGTAGAATATTAAATACCACCCTAAATGGCATTAAATTGGCACTAAATAGACATTTCCCATGATAAAAATAACCAAATGAGTTTTACTGTATCTGGCTAGAGCATATAAACAGTGTCAGCTCTCTAATGGGGATAAAAGGAAAAATGGTTTAGACGCTTTGCTGCTTCCTAGTGCTTTCTCCTGGTTTGACCAGTCTATTCCAGCCATGCTTGTTCTTGCCAATTTCTGTTCTATCCAGTGCTTCAAAGAAATGTGTTGTATGTGGGGGCACGTGTCAAGAGGAGAGGAGTGAAGAGTTGCAGCAACCATCATGCAGGGAGCAAATGCCTTCAAGAAAAATAGTCCTGTTTCTGGAAGTGGCTTTTTCTGTCTTGAGGTAAATTATTTAAAGACTAATTGTTTGACAACAGATCTAAATGAACTTGGCAATTTCCCTGCATTGGATCAGACCATCAGTGAAGTAAACCTTTAATTTAGACCACTGTTTCTTAAAGGGATAAAGAAAAGTCTATTTAGAAAGTTGTGTGGAGCTGAGCAATTAGGAGATATCCCACTCACAGATAAATGCCTTTCTATCAAGAGTGCTTGAAAGCTGAACTAGAGTAGATTAATTCAGCTAAGAGACTGCATGGTAGGAAGGCAATCGTGGACAAGCTTTGGAAATTCAAATTCACATAGAGACCCCAACAGGAACCAGTCATGCTGGCATACCATTTAATAGAAGATTCATGGTTTGGCACCTATCTCTGCATTCACTAGCCAAAATTAACTTATTTTGTCAGATGTGGACAGAGAACAGCAGAACATAAATAGTGGAAATAAGTAGATAAAGAGCTGAGAAGGAAATCCAGCCAGATACTAATGATACGAAATAACCAACTGCATGGTTTACACAGAATTGCATATTTCAGGTCTTTTTGGTCTCAGACAAGAGTAATGTAATTTCTCTCCACTGTGAAGTAAAGTGGATACAGCTGAGATATCTGCTGATGTAAAATCACAGGTGGTACTCACGTGCCAGAAAGAGCACCAAAGCTCCCTCTGTGCCTTTATCCAATGAAGTTGTCTTAGAGCTGACTTAGAATCTTCTAGAACTGATGAACTTTAGTGATCGTGAAAGTTGTGTCCCTTTTCTTGATGATTCTCCCTGTCAGATTTTAACACTGATGCTTTTTCTCTTATGGAGGAGAACTAGTATTTGCTGATGCTAGCAAACTACATCCCATGCAAAGGAAAAATATATATTTTCCAGGGTTCAGCAAAACTTTTTAAATGCTTAAACTGATTCAATGTAAAAAATCAGTATCTCTGAGGTACATCTATGTGAGATTTAAAGGAAAATGTCATATACATCAAATGATATCTGGGGGCAGAATTCATTTCAGAAGTGCAAAGTAAAACCAAAATTATCAGCATAAAAATGTATTAGATTAATGTTTGAAAGAAATGAAGACATTTTTCTCTGTTATAATATTGAAATGTAATGTAATTTGCAAGCATGATCTGGTTTTTTTCATATCAATTTCTAAGGGTCCTTCATGCAGATACTGAGCTCTTGCGCTGACTCACCCTCTTATCAAACACTTCCAGGAATGTGAGAGTATTAGGTTGTTTCTGAGAACCAGATGGATGTAAAGGCAGAAACAACAGCAAAGGACAAAGTTGGTATTGCACTTTACAGCTTCTTTTCTGTTTCCAAGGCAGCATAAATGGCAAATCCAAGGAAAGGGGCAACTTTAGCAGAGATTCAGCGAGGGCATCAGGTGAGAAAATCCCTTCTGGGTTACATGGCTGCTCATGTGCACATGCCTCAGACAGGCTGTACATCACTTACCTACAGTTTGCTCAGCTGGTAGAATTCCTTACTTGTCCACCAGTGGGGATTTGCCTGAAGGTTCTTCTGGATATGCCTATACTATTGTCAAGTAAGCTCACAGAACTAAGATGAGCATTAGCAGAATTTCTCCCATGCTAACAGTTCATCTTCTCATTTTCCCCATATGGCAATCTGATATCTGCACAGCTTTTCTGATCCAACAGCAAAGTTTTGTTTGCCAGCATATGCACTTTGGAATGTGAGAAGGGATTTCTCCATAGTAGACTAATAGCCCTGAAGTAAAAAAATTCTGTAGGCATTTCATGTTGCTGTTACGAAGAGTGATCAATTATAGACAGCTCTCTCATTGAAAAACTTCACAGAGACTGAAAATTGTTATGAGAAATAATGGAAAGAGTGGAAGCTGATTTCTGAATACCAAAAGATAAAACAGCAAATCTCTTCACTACTTAGAAATAAGACCTTCTTTAAATATTGTTTCTTACTGCATGGTTTTGTTTGTTTTGTTTTTTTTTTTCTTTTTTATATGTTATTCTCAATAAAACATTTTTTTTCCTGCGGGGTGTCTATTCAGCATGTACTTTTTACATAATCTGTCCACTACAAACTTTGCAATGAATGGGACAAAGTTGAATAACTTTCTCAGAAAATAAAACTGATGGAATAATTTATGAGAGATTTTCACTGCAATGGAAGCCTGGTGTGCTCCAGAGTGCAGCACTTGGCACATGTAAATAGCAAAGCATAAGAGGATTACTAGCTACTAATTTTATGAAAGACCACTGGCACTAAGAGCAGTGCAGCTATCACCAGACTTCAAGGATAACAGCAAACTGAAATAAATCACTCATTCGTTTTTAGCAGAAATAAAATTTGTGATAAAAATGTTTTAAGTTGATGGAAAAATGAGGGAAAATGATTTACTGTTCAGAGCTGAAGAATGCTGCTTGAAACAAAGCAATGTTTTTGGAGAAATTCAGGTATTGATCAGGCACAAGTGCTTTGGGCAGTCATCTACTAAAGGGATACAGCAAAACAGAAGTAAAATTTGTTTTAAACTGATAGACAAATTTTAGTACTATAAAGACATTGCTAAGAAAATATGTTTTCCCAGAATGCTTCTGATGGCAAGAGGACTTTATTCTTGGTTTTTTGCCTTAGGGCATTTGTTTCATTTTTGTTGCTTTCAACAGAATGGTTCATGTGAGTCTGGGTTATTCACATGCCTTGGAGTTATTGGTCTCACCCAGACTTTGCAATCAGAGACACAGATCTTGATACAGTTGACTGCTCACAGAAGTGTGAATCTGGAAATATATAAGAACATCAAAGTATTTTACAGTATGCAGAGGATCTTCTGACATATTTACACAGCTAAAAATTGAAATTGATGATCATTAATATCTTCCTGAGAGACAGTTCTCTTATGTTTCTGAAAATCACCCTAAGTACCATTCTGCCCCTTTGAATACCCCATATGCTAAACCAAAGCTTAAAAGGAAGCAGATATGTAAATGCTTTAAAGAATAGGTACGGTTTTCTTTCTACTTCTGTTGGAAAGGGGTGAAAAATGTTAACTGTCTTCTAAGGAATGCAGATGGGAATAAAGGTTCATGGGTTACAGCATTTAAATGCATATGACATTGTTAAAAACAGTTATTTAATATTTTATCTATTTTTATGTAGGTCTCTATGCAATAGTATTTGTTGCTATGTTACAAATTTATTTTACTGGCAATAAGAAAAATCAATAAACTGTTAGCAAAATATAAGTGTTATGCTAACAGTGGGTAGATGGATAAAACTACTGTTAGCTTCCTTAGGAGAAATGTGTAGAACAATATGCAGCAGAGGAGAGGACATTCTGGATCTCTGACTTGGAAAGAAAGGGAAATTAGCACACTATGCCCAATTTCACATATTCTGGAGGAACATCTTTCTTTGCCAACTTCAAGGTACCTTTTTAATGTCAATTGTCAAGAAAAACCTGTATAATAATGACAGTAAATTACTATTGTGTTTAAGAATTTTCCCTTCTTGACTACTAAAAATGGCAATTGCATACACATAAGAAACCCAAGCACAAAAATAACAACAACAGCAACAAAAGAACAAACAAAAAACTCCCAGGATTACACATCTCTCAACATACCTTTTTAAAAAAATGTAAGAGTTTGTTGTTGTTTGATCAGTTTTGGTTTTTATTCTGGATCTAAAATGATATTTCTGATCTGCTAAAATACTTGCAGTTTACTTCCTGCTAATCGGGTCCAAAATCATATTGAAATTCAGGGAGAGCCTAAGTTTCACAGTTTTCTCTATTTGGTTGATTTTTTTAGTGTTTTTCTAATGCTAGAGAGAAATGAAAATAAATTCTGACAATTCACAGTTTCCAAAAGACAAGATCTTGTTTCTAGTTACTCTGTATTTTTAGTTTACTCACCACAGTGACTGATTTGTAGCTAAGGTTACATCTGTCAGTCTGGAAGTTCTCCTAGAACTCAAAATTAGTTTGATAATATGTGTGTTGCCAGCACTTTAGGTTGACATCCCAGAAGCTTTGTTGCATTGCCAGATTTGAAGAGGTCTCTCACCTTTCCCTTTTCTGCAGTGAGTGTGAAATTTATGCAGACATGGCTTTTGAGTAACAGGATGTCCACCAGTTGGATTGTCATCTTTCTGGTACCTAAAAAAAAAAAGTTTCTGAACCAAGATTCCTCCTCTTGTGTATAATAAAAGGAGGAAAGGAGTGAAGTATCATCCTAGGATTATGTGAGCCAAAACTCCTGGAGAGGAATGAATTTCTACAGGTATTTAATTTTAAATACAAACAAATGTGCTACAAAATATTACATAAAGAGTTCATATAACTAAATTTTGTTAATGGGATCTCAAGGTAGATCTAAAACAGTAACATAGGTTTGACTATGTTAAACCTATGTTGACAGCTATTGTTGACAGTTTCCTATTTAGTTTTATCTCTATCTCCTTATATATGCAATTTTTGTGGGATTTAATCAGTTATCAGTATGTATTGAAACCATTTAATATACCAATTGCCATCAATATCCTATTACTAATTCCTTTAAATTTTAATTAATGTTTTCCAAATTAATAATACCACTCAATTAATCATTAAACAGTCCAATCATCTCAGTTCAAGGAAATTAAAGCATGAATTTCAGAGCACTACAAGCATGGCAGGCAGAACTAACTGTGATCAATAAACAGCCTCTCTCCTAGGATTTTCAAATATTCCTAGTTAATTCTATTCACAAAATACTGAGCAACAGAAAGCAAGAGAGAACAAAAAGGTTATTTACATCTCCATCACAAACCCCTTCATTAGTTCTTTTTCATTGCCAATAATTTTGCTTTTAGCCATTATTGGCATTTGAGAATTTGCCTGAGTCTGGTCTGCTGTCCCTTTGTTTTAAAAGGATTTGAACTGCCAAACTTTCCTTATGAAGCAAATAGATTATAATGGTCACTCATGATACACAGAAACAGAAAATGTGTCTGTTCATTTATGAGGTATTTTAGAAGCTTTACAGTTAGAAAATTGGAATTATGAATGGTGAACAAAACCATAAAAAGCACACATAAAACCTGTCAAAAATCCAAAATATTCCACCTAAATCTACATCCTTAATCAGTTCAGAAGCTTCTTCCCCTCACATCCCATGCTACCTCTTTATCTTTTTTCCCCTCAAGATTTAAAGCAGGTAGCCATAAAATTTTACTGAGATAACAAGTTTTCCTTATTTTTGATGCTTAAAAGCAACCAAAATCTCATGAGAAAGTTTCTGTTTATCACCTATTTTCTGCTTTACGTGAATTTTTTAAGAAGTAAAATAGAGAGGCAGTATAGCATTTCAGATGAATACTAGAACACTTTTGCTACATGGCTGAAAAACATCTTGAGAGAACCTATTTGAAATTTACCCTCTGTGGGGGGGTGTCACACCAATGTTGCTTTGAATCATAAAAGGTATAATATACTGTATAAAATGGATGATTCATATTTTCCTCTTTCTTCCAAGTCCAAAATCTCTCCATCTCACTTCTTATCTGCTTGTGTTTAAGTCTAGTGTCTTGCCAGGCAGCTGTCACTTCTTCCAGCTGCTTTGAGGGAGCTGTGTCGGTGTGGGACTGGGCACGAGCAAGCTGTGATTTATAGCAGCAGCAGCCTGTTGGCAGAATTCATTTGACTTAACTTGCACCATCTAAAAGGACGGGCCCTTTTCCAGCCTTGTCTTCCAGGAGCCCGTATTGTCTTTGGAGAGAAGTTGACATCTCCAGAAAGTGATGTATCTACTGCCAAAACGGGTATTATATAACATATTCCTTTTCTTTCAGCAGCAGTGAGAACACAGGCGGCTGCTTAAACCACTAACGTCACTCTCATGTGGCTGAAGCCTGATGGAATGGATGAGGACTTTTCTCTTATTCAAATGGTCAGGAGAATGTACTAACCATTCCCAGTCAGAAGTGAGTCTTTACTGGATAATATTTGGATTAATTTATCAATTCACAGTCTGCTTAAACCATATTAATTATGAGCCCTCAGCATGCATGGCCATAGAGAAGAGAGTAATGCAGCCTTTGGCTGTGAGCAGACCAGAGCTCTTTCTCTTAAAGAGGAAGTGGGAATTTTGTTTTCTTTTCCATAAACTGAAGCAACAATACAGTCCTTGAGGCCCTTCTATCTTGTTGATTGATGAGCAAAACAATATTTCAGCTGTATTGATGTCCTTTATCTGTTAAATATGAGGATGTGGATCAGGGGAACTTTGTAGGGGAGCAACAGAGTGAGGAAGGAGCAGGACTTGCTTTGTATACTGGATAGTGAGGGAATGAGGCCACAAACTCTTATATGTTTATTGTATACCAGTCCTTATTGCAAAATATGGAACAAAAAGGAAGCCAAATTTAGTTATATAGTGTGCAGAGAGAGCTGAGGCAGGTAGCAATCAGGTGTTTTACTTATTCTGAAGCTTCAGGACAGGTTTTATACTGAGTGGGTACAGTGCACACAGGGAATCTGAGCCAAATCAAGGAGCTGATCATGAGCCTCTTGGCTTCAGGAGCCTTTGGAGCTGTTTCTTAGAGCTTAAGTCACTCCTGTTTATCCCTGCACTGCTCAGAAGGACAAAGAGAGAGCTGTGAGCTCTGCACAATGCACTCCTTGTACATAAGAGACAGGTAGGTCCCAGTTAATTATTTCTGTCTTGCCCTGACACATCAAAACAGTCTGTTACAAGTTTGTCCTTCCCTTTCCCACACCCTTTAAAAAATCTACCACCACTCTTTATTTAAAAGGCTCAAGGATGGCATTTCAAGAGTGTCCAGTGGTCACCTGTGACAGCCTGTAGACTGCTACTATTTGCAATTTAATTCCATCACCAATATTTTATGACTGCATCTGCAGGTACTGTCAGCTGAACAATATTTAATTCCTTGACTCACGGACTTGACAACAAATGCTCGTTCATGGGCCCCATTATGCTTCTAGTGGAACTTGCAGTTTGCAGCTTGCTTTTTTTTTTTTTTTCACTTGTTCTGCTGCTTGAAATCTGGGGTTTACTGTAAGATGTTCAATGTTCATGAGCAATAAAGTCATAAAATAATTTTAAAAAGGTGATAAGCAGAATAAAATCTTGTCTAGCACATTGGTTATTTAAGAGAAGGAAATGCACTTCATTTCCACTCAAAGAGATATTTTTTCCTTTCCTATTAAGAAAAAAAAATCTGTTGGCCTATGTAGGGCTTCCCCTTGCCCCCATAATCTAAGTGTAATGGCAGTCCTTAATTTAAAAGTATATGCCATTATATCTTTCTTTGAGTATCATCCTACTGTTAAAAAAGTTTTAGAATGTGCCATAGTTTAAGGTTGCACCCATGTTAATATTTCCTAAACTATGACAGTATTTGGCAGTTACAGACTTTGGCTTGTTTTCAGACTTAAAATTAGAATTTGTATTACTCAGTTGACTTTTAAGCATAATTTAAATTTTAAACAGAAAGACCATCTTTCAGAAACTATTTGTGGCAAACAAGATGACAGAGAGTTTCAAGAGGTTTTCTAGTCCAGTAGCTACCAATTGATGGACCCCAGCGTATGAGAAATGGGCCACAAAAAAAAAAAAAAAAAAAAAAAAAAAAAAAAAAAAAGAGTAGCATCCAAGCCTTTCTCTAAGACTCAGGTAATCAAATGAAAGAAAATAGAAAAATTTAAAATAATAAAGACTCAAATCTCAACTTTTTCCAATTGTAAAGATGAATTTTGAATAAACAGAATCTTTTATGGTTTTACGTAAAAAAAAATAAAATTACATAGCTCTTAAATGCTTTTCAGAACATTTATGTGATACTTAGAATGACTGAATAAAGTCATCAAGCTATGACCTTTTACTGTCTAACTTATCTTAAAGATCTCCAGTGATGGCATTTCCACAAATTCTCTGAGCAGTCTGTGCCAGTGATTTAGCATTTCCTAATAGACATGAGCTATAGTTCTTACTGCACCTTGGCTCCACCACTTTTTATTCTCTCTCACAGACATGTGAACAGGTTATTCCCTCCCTTTAGCAGCAGCTAAAAGTGAACATAAGATTCAAATTCCTCATGTGACTAAAAATGCCTATTTACCAGAATGTGACTATAAACCCTTACCTTGCATCTCCTAAACCAACTACTCATGTTTGTCTCACTGAAACTGCAGAGGTGATAGAAGATGAAAAGTTTTAAATTAGTTTAATCAGAAACTATATATTAATAAAGAAATAACCTACCCCCTTTATAGAAGGATCCATATTTGTCTGGAGAGAATTGGAAAGGTCTTAAATATACTAATTTAAAACATTTTAGCAATACTGCTCTGTTGCCTCTGGCAATATTCTTATGACATATTTATATTAATATATGTATTTATTTTAAATTATTTCCTCTTCCCTCTAACTGTGTCCTGCAGATTTTATGCCAGGTAATTGCTTCTCTAGACTCTTGAAAATTGTCAGGTTTTGTCTAAAAATATATTTAATTGTAAATTTTCAGAAACCTTGCTTGTTGCTTTAAAATTAATCAGTAGAATCAGGGAACTAATTTTAATGATGATTGCTATTTTAATGGGTGAATATTTTTAGCTAAATCTAAAATGAAAAAAGGCTTTATGGTTTGGGGAAACTTTAAGTAAGTACAAAACTGTAATACATCTACCGAGCACAGATAACAGATTATCTTAATTCAAATTATGAAGGTATTTATAGAACAGACCAGCAAGTGGCAGTACATGTTGTGCATAAATCATGAATGATAAGACTGAAATCTTTAAAATGAAACTAAATAGACAGTCAAACAAGCTTTCATGTACAGACTTATTCATTTTAAGTGTCCTGCCAAGAATTGTAAATGCTTCATTCCACATGACCTTATTTATTTTCCTGGAAATAATACGTATCTCTCAATTTTAGGAAAGAAAGGAAACAACTCTCCTGTAACTGCTAGGATGCATTTGTGTCTCAGTTGATCAAAATGTATGTACTGTAAACCTAATGTTGGCTCAGAGTGGAAAATGGAATTTTCCAGCGACCGTAATGTTATGAATTGCCATGACTCATAACATATTCCAATAAATAATCACTGCCTATGGGTACGGTATTGTAATGGATCTACAATGCCTGTTCCAGTGGTCTTTGACCCTGATATCTTTAATGTGAACTCCATTTTATGCAGTTTATTTTCATAGGTGAAATGTTAGAAGAAACCATAATAAAGCATAATATTTGCTATTACAGATTCCTTCAAAGTCAGTTAAATATATTGCTAGCAACATATAACACAGAAAAAGAAAAAGAATAAAAAAAAAAGGAAGAAAAAGAAAAAGGAAAAAAGGGAAAAGAAAAAATAAATAAAGAAAATAAATTAAGAAAAATAAAAGAAAAATGAAAAAAAAAAGGACAAAAAAAAGACTGTAGCCTTCATTCTGTGAGTTATCTAAGAAAACAAAACTGTGTGTGATTTGATAAAATACTACTTTGAAATCCCTGGGTGTATTGGTAAAGCATTATAACAGAAGTATGTTTTTCTTCTTTAGAAATATTTAGAATAATGTACTGTGAGACTCTAATGACTGATACTCTCTGCAAACAGCGTCCATACTCAGGAGATGAACACAAATATATAGAGAGATATAACAGAGGAACCCAATGGTCTTTCTCAAGACATCATCTCTGATCCAGAGATAACCAGTATGGGTAAATGAGAGATACTTGTACTGGAGCCCTTTTAACCCCTTCTCTGTTACTTTAGGATATTAACTGGGTTGCTGAATCCTGTTCCTTATCAATCTCAGTGTTGGCACACTCAGAGTTTTGTGTTCAATGACGTCGGCAGTTTTTATCATGTGGTTTCACGGGGACACAGAAATTGCTTTCCTTTTGCATCCCTGCTCCTGAGGTTCCTAAGCATGATGGCTCTGCTTGTTTCCTTCATGAAACAAGGCTGTTCAAGCAGCATGCTGTGACATTTGTTAGTGAAATGCAGTTAGAGTTGACTGGAAAAATGTCAACTACACTTTTGAATTTCAGAAAAAGTTTCTGCACGTTTAGGTTATATTTGCAAATGGGCCAGAAGCAGTGGGTGGTGTCATTCTCCGATGCAGCAGACAAGAATGGAAAGAATAAATTAAGGTAAAGGAGAGTAAAGATGCAGTGCTTTTTCTGACTGATGGATTTTATATCTCCCCTTTCTCCCAGAACTGTGTCTTTGCTCTGCCTTAGCACATTTTTAAGTGTGCTCTCAGGCTCTCCTTCTAAAGATGTTCACTTTTTCCTGGAATGATTTTTGAGAGCAGAAAAAAGAACCACAGCTTTTCATATCACAAATGGAAATTGTTAGGCTGAAAGGGTCATTCTTGCTCTCTGAATAAAATTTACCTCATGCCAAATGAAATATAACCAGTGGGAGAAAACAAGAGGCATTCACCTGCAGATGCATAAGTGTACTGAGTCTATGCATTTTCTCTGTGCACTAACAGATTTAAATCTCTGTCTCACAAGCTCAGAGTAGAAGATTCCAAGACCCAGATAAAAAGACATGGATTTGGGAGGATTTTTTCTCACTGACCTTTACTGGAGGCATTCCACTTAGTGGCAAGAGATACCTAAGCATAAAGACATGCCTATGAGGTACAAAGCATTAAAACACAGGCAACAGAACAAGGATATTCTGTAAAGAGTCTTGCCCAGTCTGGATGAGAAGCTAAAGCAATATTTGTTTAATGTAAAACTCCATTGCAAGCAGATGAGGCAAGTAAGATTATCCTTCATAAAGACTGTGAAGTAGACCTTTTCCACAAGGTTGTTTCTCAGTCTGTCTCTTCCCAGAGTCACTTCCTAGCATTTACTATTCTATGGGATTGCTCTTCCATATGTGCAGAACACTATACTTTTATTTTTGAACCTGCTGCAGTTTCTGTTGGCCCGATTCCAAGGTTTATCAAGATGTTCTGGACTGAATCTCTGTTGTGATTTGATGAGACTTCTGGTCCCCAGGCTGTGCCTGAACAACATCAGAAAATACTCCTGAATTCAATACTCCAACACCAGAAAATACTCCTGAATATATCTTGTGCTGAAAGTCTCTAAAATACTGGTATTTTTGTATTCTTGACTTTGCTATGAAAATTACATAACCTGAAAAACTGAGAAAAGGCCATCTTGAACCATGTTTTATAATACCTTGCTCAGAAGATGTAATTTCCTTCCTATATAATCTGGAGAAAAGCTCAGGTTTCCTATTTTACTCATACTTCCAATTTTTCCTCTCTAACTTGGACTCCCTAATCAGAGGGCTGTTATACAAAAGGTTGGCAGAACCATTCAGTGTATTTCTAATTGCATAGACTTCTCTAAGACTATTTTTAAGATACCATTAAAAAAATCAAGGAGGAAATCTGAATGATCAGGCCAAGCATAAAACAGAATTTTGCTTATTTTCAGGCATAGTTTCCTCTGTATCTCCTTGCTGCTCAATTTAGGAATGGTTTGGCCTTTATTTGACTATATATTCTGAATAAGGGTCTCTGAATGCCCCCAAAATTCTATTTCTGTTGGCCAAGTCCTGTAAGAGAATCATTAACTAGGAATCATCTCACATTGAATTTTAATGTTATATTACAGAAGTCACTGAATGAATAGGTTGGAAGAGACCTTAAAGACCATTGAGTCCAACCCATGCCCTAACACCTCAACTAAACCAGGGCACTGAGTGCCACATTCAGGATTTCTTCAAACACATCCAGGGTTGGAGACTCCACCACCTCCCTGGGCAGACATTTCCAGAACTTTATCGCCCTTTCTGTAAAAATCTTCTTCCTAATATCCTAAATATCCTTCCTAACATTAGTGAACTCCTAAAGAAATTACCTTCTTTTTTCTGGAGCTGTGTACCTCTGCCTGCTGTAGACTTTGGCTACAAGACTATATGACTATATTTAATGGGCTAGAAAATGTCTATGTAAATAAGAATCAGACAAAAGCAATGCAACTCTGGCTGGAGGCTGACAATTGCCCCAGCTACAAAACACTGGATAATCAGTAACCATGGCTGTAACATCATAGTGAGGATTCCAGACTTTGGGAATGGAAGATTTACAGCACCACATAAATTCTTCTGCACTTGCTATTGCTTTTGTTTTCTCTTACAAAGGTAAGGTAATCCCCTGAGCGTGTGGTAACTGGCAATGTTTATTTTGGGATATGCTGCAGACAGTGTGTCCAGGTGGTGTTTTCTGATTCAAAGCTGAGGTCAATAAAAAGTGATGGAAAATGTTAGCAAAATCTTGGCCCAATTCTCTCTGTTCATTTAGGAATTTGAATAAGACTTTCCTGCTGTTACAATGTCTTCTTTGTTCTTCCTTGCCCAGTCTCTAACCAACCTCTTATTACATGGCAAAGGAAGATTAAAAGGAGAACATATCCTCCAGTTATTTTCCTCTGAAGTAATGATATAATAGCGATTAAAAAAAAAAAAATCAAATAATGTGCGGGGGAATGAAGCAGAAGTGGAACAATGAAACAATACAAGTTCTTTGCTCAATTTTTGTCCAGAATTAAAAAATATAGTAAACTATTTCAGACCAACTATATCAAATAGGGAAAACATAAAAAAAATTAGGAGAAACCATTAACAATAATCATAATACATCCAGCATTATAACTTTCTGACAGTAATGGAAAAGCTTTGTGATTACATTTAATCTTCTTTTTTTATTTTAAAACTAACTGTGCCTTTCTGTTCAAGGCTGAGTTCTCCTAGTACTGTAATTTGGTGGACAACCAACAAAAAATGTTAAGCAGGGAGTGTTCTAATGAATGAGACATCCAACAAGCCACCAATATAACAGGAAAAGTAGGAAACCATTAATACAATTGCAAAGGTTAACAGATCTCCACAACCAGCTCTGGGAGCCTCTGCTGGTTTTATTTTTCCAGTCCTCAACTGTTATCTGAGCTCTCAATAGATGATGAACTGAAACTTATTCATCAAGTGTATTCAGCAAAAAAAGTATGAATGCAAAGTAATATCACAATCAGGACAACTGCATGATTTTATTAATCAAATAAAAACCAGAAAAAAATGTCATATTTTAGGTCCATATATGGCAAATAGAGGGGAGTCTGCTGTTTTTCAATTAAAAGAAAAATAAAGGCCCAGGAAAAGAAAGTTGCTGAAGGAAGGACAGGAAAAAGAAAAAGTTATTCTGAGCCTCTAAATATAGAAATCTCTCCTGTGCTTTTTTGTAAAAGATATGACCAGCTGCAAGAGTTATTCAGATCAGCACATTTTTTCATGTTGTCTTGACCTCTTCCCTTACATTGAATGCAAAAGGCCCAAAGCAGAAGGGATCTGTATCCTTGCCCACATCTAATAAAACTAATAATGAAATAAACTAATAAAGCCAAATGGTAGCAAAAAATAATTATTGCTATACCAAAAGCCCTAAAAACTATTAACTTTAATGGCTACTGCAAGCTAATATCTCTTTTTTTGTGAGAATGAAGATATATTGAAGTAACGTTATTAGTTTCCGTTCACATATATATTTTGATTTGTCTTTGCTTATCTTTTGGTAGTATGTATGGCAAGGAAACATAGGAGGAAATGGAAGAATAAACTCATGAGAAGGTGCTCAAATATAAGGACTTCAGCAAAAACCCTTTTGTTATGTTTTAAACCTTTCAAATATATTTTTTACATGTTGTCACTTTTTATTCATGTTAGTTGCCTGTCTTATATCACATTGACTTTTTTTTTTTTTAGTTTATAAATAATACCAATGAAGCAAGTGGATCAGAATCAGAGTTCTAAACCTTCGTTTTAAAGAATAGCCCACTTAAGAATTAAATTAATGTAGGGGCATAAACACATATGTCTTGCAAAAAACTAATTTTTTATACTCTTGAATTAAACAGACATCAGATATTTATTAAATACCCTTTTGACTGTTCAGAGGTATCAAAACATTTCTTTCTCAGTTTACTGCACAAACAATCCTAGTACCTCCAAGTCAACTGGACAGGATTGTTAAACTAATATTCATCTAGTTGTGTTTAATTTTGGAAAACAGATTTGCTGACAGGATCTTAGGAAAGAGTGACAGTAGTTAAAATATACAACATGCAATTTTCAGAGTTCCTTCAGTTCTTCTTTGAGCCTTACAGCAATGACATTGAGCTACCAAGTAGTAAAGAAGACTTATCTCTATGAATACTGCATAACATTGTAAAATATATCCCTTTGTTTATTGTCCTTTATAATCTCCTTCAAAAGTTTCTAAAATATTGCTGTACTTATTTCAGAGGCACATTATAGGCTTCATAGCAAGATTCCCATTTCATTAAGTGTATATGCACTTACCATTGTAAACCATCTACGTGCAGGCCGATAGAAAACTCATATCATTGTATTTTTCTGCAGTATTTTCAAGAAGAAACTTAAAAATAACCAAGAATTATTCAAGCCTGCACTTGCATAGGTGATTGATTCTAGATTTATGTTTTAAAATCCCTCTTATGACAAAAAGGTCCCATTTGTAGTCACATCTGTTGACATCAGAAGATAGAAGCAGAAGAACTCCAGCAACAAAAGTCACACCTGAACCATAGAAACTTATGGGCTTTCCTGTGACCTTGTAAGACCTTGTGACAGGGCAAACCCAGCTCTCAGACTTCAGCAAACTCCCAGAATACAGGATTTGGTGCATCTATGTTACTGGGTACTTGAATATATTTGCTTCCTCCTGGCATATGTCAAGATAATTTATAAAGTTTATTTATATGTCGTCATTTTTATATTTTGACATTTTTGGAAATATGCTTTTTAATCCAGTAATAAAATTAGTGTGATTCCTATATATTAAGTTACATCAATTTTTAAAGTCCTTATTTCCTCCTCTCTCGGAGTTTTGCATTCCAAAGAAAATGGCTTCTGCATACCCTGATTGAAAAAATTGAGTACATGCTTGTAAGACAAATATATTTCACAATAAAACAATGATTCATCAAAAAATTGATCAAGACTATCAAGCAGCAGAAAAGATGACCTATAAAATATCACATTTGCTGAAAGACTAAAAACACTGAAAAAAAGACAAAAGAAGTTAAAATAGATAATAAAGGCAAAAGGAGAACCAAAAGACAATTACACGAGTGGTTACAATAGATAATGTTTCAGGTATATGAAGAGCCAGAATTCAATGAATGAGAACCTAGTGTTTCTAAAAGACAGCAAATATTTAATTTATTAAAGAACCTTCAGCTGAGACCGAGATTAATAATTTTCCCTATTGTTCGCTTGGAGGACGAAGAGATAAAACCAATATCCTTACCAAAGGGAGGAGGGAGATGCACTGGTGTTAGGAAACATGCATGCTGTAGGAATGATTGTTCTCCAGATCAGTGGTGGCTTTTCAGAAAGTCATAAGAAGGTTAAAAGATGAACCCACATGGATGGGACGACACACAACAGCATTAGTCTCCTCTTCAACTTGGAAAACTTTATGCCATGATTACAATACCAACTGATGAAGTGCAACAAAGCATAATGCTTCTTGATTGTAAACACAAGTTTTCCTCCATGTATTTAAAAATGGAATGTAAATTCCATCTACTTGTGTGTATTTTTACTACAGATTTTGTCTATGCACGTTTTCCTGTCCTATTAAACATTAATTTCTGTGAATATTATAAGCATATCTTGTCAGTGGGTATTAGAAATAAAGGAGAAAAAAACCCCTTCTATTTTGGAAAAGGTCAATGGAATTTTTGCAATTAAATCCCATTAAGAGATTATTTAGGTGCTCGTATTTTGTAGGGAAGAAAGGTACAAGGACTGGCACAGAAAAATTTAAGTTCTTTCTCCCTCTCTTTTTTTTTTTTTTTAATTTGGCCCTTGAAATGCTAGTATAGCTCAAGGATATAGATTATCTAGATATATTAAGACTTCTAGGCATACAGTGTCTGCTTGTTGGATTTCTTGTGTATAATATAAACACTAAATTTCTTCAGGTACTCCAGTGATGTTTGTTTTTCTGTAATGTTGTTTAAAGTGACTGGCACGCTTTTTAGGAAACAGACATTTCAGTTAGGTAGGAATATAAGAAGTGGAAGCCAAAGAATGATCAAGTACTTGAAAGCTTATCTCAGATCTTATCCTCAGGGGTCCATACACAGCTGCTCACACTGAACATGCATATCAAACAGGTTCCCACAGGAATTCTAATACAGGTATCTCAAAACTTAGAAAATGTAGTAAAAAAGCATAATGATGTCCTGAAAATTATTTGTGGAAATTCCAAAAATAGATGAATGCAGATTATTGTAAACTTGGTTCTTGCCTTTCTTTGAAAAAAATATTGCACAAAAAATTTAATTCTGTGATGAAGGTGTAAAAAATATATTGAAATCATTACAGAAAAACAATCAAGCGGATTATGACTATAAGAAATAGAAAAGCAATTGAAGCCTAGTTTAAATTGGTACAACACAGTAGCAATACAAACTCTCATTCACCATCTTCTGTGTCAGTTGCAAACTGCCATTGATACCAGTGGTGCAAGATAAAACTCCTGAAGCTTAAACACTTCAGTCAATATGTTGTGAGTGATCTATTTGTGCAGATAGCAAAGAGGCTTAGATGAGGTGACCACTGAAAAGCCCTGTTATCACCTCTCATCTTTTTTACTCCATAAACCTATGTCATGTGAACAAAGAATCAACCATAAACTGAAAAAAAATTATGAAAAGAGGAACAGGGAAATCAATAAAAATGTAAGAAGGCAATAAAAATCAAAATTGCTTAGATAAGAAGAGGCTGGGGAGATATAGTAAATACCTTAAGCACATCAATAAAATGAAATGTCTACTTCAAAATAATAAGAATAAAATCAAATGTAAGATTAAAAACATATTTCAAAATACAGATTTAAAAACTAAAAGTATTCCTGTGTTTTCTGCTAGGCTCCAAATATGTGTCTGATGAAATTTAATGCAACTTTAATCCCCTTGAAATGCATTCT